AACAGCTTTATATAACGTAATAACAAAAGCTCTTAGAGGGTGTTATACTAACAATAAAAACGAATGCACTAACGTCACACAATAGTCAAAAAAATACTTGAAGTAATCTAAACTACACAAACGAAAATAACAATCGAGAACACAAATGAAAGTCTTGAATGTAGGAACTTTAAGTACATAACATTTGAGCGCGTTGTTTGTGATCTTTTTTGCTCTTTTTAAGCGCAATTAACAAGATGAGGCTGTTATCAAAAATTCTTGTCAATATGGACGGAGACACAGTATTATTAAAAATTATACTGAAATAATAACTTCGCCCACAGTGACTGACTGCTTATTAAAAATACTGATCTATTTTTTATTACTTTAGCATTTATTATTGTAAAAAATGATACGATCTCTGAATTTCATAAGCGATAAATTATTGTACTACTTTTTTCAAAGTATTGTCAGTTTCGCTCTAGCGAAAATGTCACCTATCGATTTTCGCTTTACGAAAAACATGATAAATTTTTCATAGGTATATAGTCCGACTCCCTTTTTTCGGCAAACCTGAAAATGAATAAATATTCAAAATAAGTGCATAACGAAAGCAGAAAATATTACGAATTGAAAGGACCAAATCAAATGCTGCCTCATGGAATTTGCAAATTATTTGAAAGGCGAACGAAAAAACTGGGTTAAACGCTCCCGCGACAAGTATGAAAACAGAAGTTGTTAGTATATATAATAAGTGACATATAAATCCGAACACCCAGATTAAATGGTTTTATTTTAATAAAAGTTGGTGAATGTATTTATCTTACTGTAAATAACAAGTGAAAAAATTTTCAGCCTTATCAGTTGGACATTCCGGTTTTTATACTGCTTTTTTTTAATTCACTAACGCTCTAAAAATGAATATTTCAGCCGCAGTAATGAATCAACGTTATCGGATTTTGGTTCTTGACATCCTTTACGACCTGTTACGATGCCTCGAGTACGGAGACCTGTACGATTTCGTCAACTTAGTGAGTTTGATAGGGGCCGTATAGTGGGACTTCGGGAAGCTGGACTTTCTTTTCGGGCAATTGCAGTTAAAGTGCAAAGAAGTGTAGACACTGTGGTTAGGTGTTGTTAGGCATGGCTTCGAGAAGGCTGTACGCAAAGAGCAAGGGCCCCGGACGCCGCCGTAGAACAACAGACCGTGAAGATCTCCGCCTAAGATTATTGGCCTTAAGGGACCGTTTCTCCACTACCAGGTCCATTGCAAATGAATGGTTTGCAGAACACGGAAGACCTATTGGCATGCGAAGTGTTTACCGACGAATGAGAAGTTTTGGCTTGTTTTCATACCGGCCACACTGGGTCCTCCCTTTAACTCGAGAACACCGACGTAATCGCCTTGAGTGGTGCAGACAACGGTCACTCTGGGATCAGGAATGGAACAGTATTGTCTTTAGTGACGAGTCTCGATTTTGTTTAGGCATGCACGATGGTAGTGCCAGGGTTAGAAGGCGACGTGGTGAAAGGAGGAATCCACAGTTTTTTGTTGAAAGACATGTTCATCACACTGTTGGAGTTATGGTTTGGGGTGCTATAGCTTATGGTTCCAGGTCACCTTTAATCTTCAGCTAACATGAACGCGCAGCGTTATATCCACGAAGTTCTAGAACCCCATCTTTTACCCTATCTTGACACCCTGGCAGATCCAAATTTCCAACAAGATAATGCTCGACCACCTGTTGCAAGAGTCACAATAGACTTCTTTCAACATAATGATGTCACATTGTTACCATGGCCACCAAGATCTCCCGACTTATCCCCAATTGAGCACGTGTGGGATATGATGGGTAGGAGATTGCTCAATTTGCAACGTCCTCCTCAGACTCTAGAAGCACTTCGAGAGGAGTTGGTGGTTGCCTGGAATGAGATACCACAGGAGGACATTGACCACCTGATCAGAAGCATGCCTAGGCGCGTTGGAGAATGCGTAGCACATCAGGGTGCATCCACACATTATTAAAGGTCAAAGGGCTTTAAAGCAGTGCAATCATTTTGAAATTTTATCATTTACTTATTATGCTTCATTAAGTACTTATACAAAATTTTATTAAAATAAAACCATTTAAACTGGGTGTTCGGATTTATATGTCACTTAGTATAGTATAGTGTACAGTGACGTAGCTTGCTTCTCGGGGGCCCCATATCAAAAATATAGGGAACATCACCCAACTGTGGCGAATCCGAAATGGAGGATAAAATTTGAAGATTTTGTAAATGCCAAAATTTTAGAAATTCAGATAAATGTTTCGTTTTGCGTTGTCTACAACAGGTAATCACGTAATCCATGTGAGTTCATAGTAGGTGGAAATGGTGTGAATCACAACAGCGTTGTAAGTAAAAATTAAAAGAAATTTCAGATCATCCCAAAGTGTGTCTTTATATGCGTTACAATTTTCTGAAAATGTTTAAGAGTAATCAAAGATCTTTGTACCGAGTTCATGCCACTATTTTTCACTTATAGAACTCCTAAGGTATTTTCTTCTTTGAGCTGTTACAGAGGGTTAAAAATAGGAAGTATGCTACTATCACCTAGCCCAGTTTTTGAAAATCGGTCCATCTTCAGCGAAGAAAAAGTCAAAAAAATAAAAATTGCTCAAATTTCGTTTTTTGGCGTTCCCGAAGAGCCTTTTTTATTTTTTTTTTTGGGTAAAAAATTGGTAGGCGTTTAATTTCTCTGTTTTAGTCTCTGTTCTCTTCAAAACAGCATTATTCACGAACTACATATGAACAAGCTTCAACTTTACACAAGTTAATTACAAAAATTGTAGCCAACAGTTTAGTCCTAATTTGGAAAATATTTTTATCTCTACAGGGTGGTTACGAGGTGACCCAAACATACATTTTTTTACTGGAAAGATCTACTTTTTATTACAGATTTGGATAGGCCCTTTAAAATGAAACAATTTGATATAACACATTTCAGGGTTTTGTTTTCAAATTGGACACTTTATCGAAAAAAACGCTTAAATTTGACAACTGTTATAGCTAGAGTACTTAATTCTCCGGCAAATAAATTTCAGGATCCTATATTTTCTTACTGTCTACCCACTATTTTAGTTTTTTATACAGGGTGCAGAAGTTTAAAAATAAAAAACACTTTTTTGATATCTTCAAAACCGCCAACTGGAATGAACGAAAATTTGGTATGTGGATTTACCTAAGTATTGTCCACATTCAAAAGTCGTTACTTAAAATTAACGTACACCAGTGGCGGAGATACAGGGGATTAGTGGCATTAGTTTTCCAAATAAAAATAGTACGCTACCGTTTTTTTTCGAAACGTCCAAATAATTACTCTTGTGTTTTTTTCCTAGGTTGCATTGTTTTGGTAAAAATAAAATGAACAAATTAGATAAAACATTATTTCAATAAATTTTCAAAAAGACCTGTGTATGATGTTTCATATTTGGTCACGACTTGTGAATCACCCTGTATAAATATATTTGGGAGTGTGAATGGTTTTTGAGTTACAGCTAACCTGTTTTGTGAATCAGATATCAAGGTAAATGAAAAATATTACATTTCAAAATAAAAAAGTAGATTAAGCAAGCAACGACAGATCGTTATAATTGGCGTATTTTCGCTATAAATTAACCCCCCCCAACCTTATGCAATAAAGCCGAGAAGTACCCTGCATTTTACGCTGAACCTTATCCTTTATCAACTGATGATAAATTTTAAAATAAATGAAACCACAGATCAATTATTATACTGAAGTTTTGGCTGCAATGACATCTACTAATCATCTGCAATTTAAAACGTCAGAATTTGAGACAAATTTGGTACAAATCGCCTCCCAAACTCAATAATATCAAACATCACTCCAAAAGCCTGCAATATGGGGGAGGTGAGGAAATAAAAAAAAACACAAAATTATCCCACATTATTTATTCTTCTAAAATAATTACAATCTTGCGCAAATACACAAGTTTACAGCTTTCACAGCCTTTACCACGCTTTTATCGAATCCGAATATAACAATGATTGAAAAACATCATCAAACCAATGAATATTTCTGAACTTCGTGAAATAATGTACAAACTTTATACAGAAGATGTTGAAATGACAGAAGTCGAAACAATGAATTATTTTTGCATGACACACCAGAGTAGATAATCATACTTAGGTCCTCTGATGTTATCTAAAACAAACAGGACCGATTAAAATTAGGACTTACGAAAAAAACGAGGCTTTTTAGACACGAAACTGAGTTTAGTCAACCGTTATAATGCCTTTTTTGCACCACAAAACCGTCCACTATCAATGAAGTGCGAATCAAACGTTCAAACGTGAAGCATACTTAACAAGTAAGGATAGAAATATGTGGACAGGAATACTCGTTTGTTGTAGAACAAGTCACAAATCGCGCCTAAGAAATTAACCGACATTAGATATCTTGGAGTCGTCTATGAGAGTTTGTCACAACTATGTGACTTCACATTAGTTATAAATTAAAGTCCCAGAGATGGTGCTGTAGCTTAACTATATGGGCATATAGCGGCATCTATAACTGACCTTTTCAGTACATTCCTAATAGGAAATAAGCTTCTTATTTTTGTGAATGCCGATTACTTTCGTTAACACATATTCCATTCATGGAAATGTCTGTATTTTTTTTAATTAAATATTTATTTAAACGCAGCATTTTCCGCGCGCTTCACAGTGACGTCACAACTCATGATCTGTCATTTTTGTTTGGTTAATTTGCTGAGAAGTTTTGGAAGGTTTTTTCTTTTGTTTGTTGTTTTTCCGACGTTGTCTTTGAGGCAAAATTAACCTCTTGTCGGCAACACGTTTGCTGTCAATTTTTGGAGACTGATCAAACTGATCGGTTGGCGATCAATGACTGAAAAAAAGGTGTCGCTGCTCACGTCATTACCGTTGCGTTTCGACATTTTAAATTTACCGCGTATTTTTTCCATGTTTTATTAAATAATACTCGTAATTTTATAGCGCATACGTTTAAAATAAGGTGAAAGGTGGCTTTCTGTAGAAATATAGGCGTAAATAAAAACAAACAACCTACGTTTGAATTACATGCATAGTTATGACAAATTCTCGTAGATGACGCGACGATATCTTATTTTATTTCTGAGCATTTTTGGACGCGGGACTTCAATATTAAGATGACTATCTTCAAATAGGATATGTTAATAAAAGCCCATGCCTAGCAAATTTTACGTTTTTTAGAAAGAAGCTGTCAGATATTGTGTTATGAAAATTCCGTACAATATCCAGTGAACTGTCAGTTTTTTCTTTAAAGCCTCGTGTTTTTAATAGTCAAAGTATATCACACAAAAAATAAACCTATTCTGTGACACGGCGTACAAAGCACAACATATCACAGAATAGGAAATTTGAGACAAACACTCTACACAATTCAGTAGCAAGCAGATTAACAAAGAGTACAATAAGCCAGGGTACAGAAACTTCTTCTCTGGTGTGTATTATTTAAAAATATTTGTTTTTTATTAATAAACTACTCGAAAAATGATTTACCGCACTTTACAGTTATAACGGCAAACAAAATAATAGTATTGGAGGAAATAATGGATATAGTGAAGTAACAAAAGAATTGTGTTAAAAAAATATGTAAAAATTCATGAACCGCGGCGATTTTTGTGAATGACAGAATCGTATGCACAATGTTGCTGCTGAGCAGGAAAAAATTAAAAACAACCTATTAATGTTTATTGCTAAAGAAATACGTGATTTTTAAAATATCGATTTTTTTATGGTTGATGAGTTTGTGAATTGAGTTTATTTTCAAGATACTGTGAATAATTTCAGTGAAAAGATATTTGTTCGCGATATGCTAAAGAAAACAGCGTTTCGAGAAAAATGCTGCGGTGCTTCATTTTTGAATATTTTTTTTTTTGTTACTTGAATATATATTTAAGGCTTCCTCCAATATTATTATTTCATCGTCATTTACTTCTACAAAAGAATGCCAAAAAATATTTTTATGCCGTTAAAGAAAGGTTTGCACGTCAGTTATATCAAAATATATGAACGCTGAATAGAAAAACCCTCTGAATAACTATGACAAATGGCCACAAAAAAAAGTTGATGTGTATCTGTGCAGGCGTAAAATGTAAATGTATTTCGCCTTATTGAATAGAATATTGTTCAAATTACAGGCCTTATTTTTCAACTCTTACTCATTAAAATACTTTCTAGCACCCACATCAAAAAAAAAAATTATCAAGGATTTTAATAAATGATATCGAATTGCTTATATCCCAATTAGCAGTCCCTTATTTTCATTTATTTAACTAACAACTAAGTTTAAGACACTTTACATTTAGTCTAAGTTAGTTATCATGTTTTTCAAAGCAAATTGCACTTGGTAAAAAACAATATTAAAACTATTTTTTGAACGCGATGTTTCCGATGAATATAAAGTCCAAAGGTATTGTAAAGAAGTTGTTTTTAACTATGTTGAAAAGTCCGATCAATGATGCATAAAACTCACACCGAACTAACTAAACACATGAGCTATATGTATTACCTAATATTAGATCTACATTCAATGATTACGTATAGATTAATCATTATGATACACTTGAATTTAAGCAACAAATTAAGCCTCATAAATGTGGTTGAATAGCCTGTTTTTTTGTGTGTTAATAATGCAATGACGTATTAGTTAGAGGGACAAGGGTCAGAATTATTAAAAAATCAAAGAAATCCCGAAAAAATATATTAAGACAATTGAAACTACAATAGAAGACTGGCTTATCAGCACAATATTCATATAAACATCAGCTGAGCAAAACGTAGGATAAACTATAAAATTGAGGCTGATAAACTTGTCTCAAAACACAAAACAAAACCAGCACATAAAGCTAAACAAAAAAAAATGTATACAATTTAACACCTCATAGTTGTTGCTAATCTCAAAAAGGGAAGTTATAGAAAAATTAACCGAAATTTTGCAATAGGATTTTCATGGTTCTCGAAATGTTTGCATTAAGATTGATGTAGAGGAAATAAGGTAATTCTGTCACGTCCTTCCTCGAACATTCCACTTAGCAAAGTGAAGCTTATCTTTAAGGTACACCTTAGATTGAATTGACTTTGCAATCATGAGATTTCTACAACTGTGCCGTCATATCTCCATGTCAAAAATCCCAATATGTAAAATATTCGTTTATCACAGATGTGTGTTAATTATGAGTTCTGCTGCTAAAAAAAACCCAATTTTTCCATACAAGAAAAATCTTTGTTGCCGAAAATAAACATATAATAGAAAACAAAACAAGATGCTCTCACTTGAAGACAAAAGAAAAGTCCTTTATTGGTCCTAAACCGTTGTGAAAACTATGAATAATCCACTCTTTTATAAATCCTTCTCGTAATTCCATATACAAGGAGGTTAATTTCATCTAATTGTTGTAAAACTTCCGTGATATTTGCTCATAAACCGCTTCATAACCTTCAGAAACCAAAACAAAAATTTTACCCTGCGCATAATCCAAGGACTTGACAAAATTTCCTTACTTTCCCTATCAGAGACAATTTTTGAAATACACTTCCCTTCGAGATTAGCTCCACCACATTTAAGCAACGTCGCCTCCCCTATTGCGAACTTTGGAGTGGTAGCGGAAATCTACCGATGCGTCTCATACAGAGTGTTCAAAATTTTAACATTCATTACCCGACTGCATCGGAAGTAGGGTTATGTTTTTCAGCGTATTTTGTATGTAATTTTAACATATGAGGCGTCCGGCGTTCAGCGTTCCGTCCGACCTAACTGGATAACCGTACAATACATCGTTTTCATGGCCAGATCGCCGTTTCGATACCAAAAGATAGAGATAGAATATTATTCTATCTTTAGAGAGCAGTAAGCATAGATTTTCGAAATAAGGAATGTTTTTTGAATCTAGAAATAATAGAGCGATGGGTACTGCTGAGCGTGAAAAATATATATACATAAAAAGTATTGTCTTCCCATATCAGTAGCTCCTGGGTTCTGTAGGGGCTTGGGAGGTGTTTCTGAGGGTTGGACCCATTAGGACATTTGATCGCCATATCGAAAACTACCTCTATGCCGAATTTCAACTAATAAAACAAAAAACAATTTTCCAGAAGAAAACTGCGGGGTTCTTTAACACGCTCGCACCTCACATCTTTAAATGGCAAGTTAGGGCTTATGATACATATCTTGAAAGGTCCCTTTATTGTCTTCATATTAACCTAAAATACAATCATTACCATGGCAAGTTAGTTCAGTGCCACATTCGGTTATTATACGCTGATCTATAATTTATCTAGCATGCATGATAGATAAACGTCTGATCTTAAACCTTGGCACGTATCAGATTTTTACAATAAAACAGCTGAAATGTAACAAATGAACACCCTGGGACGAGACGCAAAGGAGGCTAACGTATCACTGTAGGCCAAAAAGACTGTTTGACTTGGAGGAAGAGGAGGAGTGTGATTATGTGGTGACTCACATTGAGAGGTAGCCGCGCGCCTGGCACCGTCTTCTGCTCAGCAGGTACGCCGCAAGGATCATCAGGATCATCACTATCAGGATGCTGCCCACAACGATCGGTACTGTGTCGTTCACCACCGAACCTTCGCAGTCAAGAGCTGGAAGGTAAAAAATATGAGTGAGTGACTATTTTCAGCCATTCTGGACTAATATTCGAGATTTAAACATGGTTAAAAGCGTGGATTCAATCCAGTTTATTGAAACAAACACATTCAGAAGTGCGTTTGTAAATCATTTAGTAATGTAATACCCTACATAGTAATGGAATTTTACTCTGGAATACTGTGTATCCTTATTCTAATAACGCCTAAATTATTAGTCATGTAATCCAATCTACAAATTTTATGATTAAGCTGTGGTCGATAGTCCGATATCACTGATAAACACAGGATTTGTAACATGACAATTTTTGGGTGTATCTTATGTATTTTGAGACCCTTAAATCAAACTTAAAAACAGAATTTTTCTATCACCCACAGATATTCGGTAACATCTACTTTTATGAATTACGTAACATCTCATATTGCCTACATTTCTCGGCGTTTATGCGATGACTCCCATATACAGGGTGTTTCAGTTTATTGTTGCATAACTTTAAGATTCGATAGAACTTTCAAAATTAATGCATAAAGTATATATAGACATAGATCGAAAAATGCGTGGCTTCCGAAATACAGGGTGTTTAAATTTACTTTCTAAAATAGTTTTTTTTAAATATTTCGAACAATATTTGATGTATAACAGTGAAAATTGGTATACAAGTTTTTTTTGGTACGACAAAACGAACCATGGGCATAGTTTTACTGTAGCCGCTAGAGAGCGCTCTCTACTGTACCTGTAGTGTATTAAAATGACCGAAAATTTTTTCTTAGTGCAATTTTTTGCTTTTTGAATAAAAAAACTGATTCTTCGCACTTTTCAACATAAAAAAGCTCTCTTGTGTATTTTCGTTATAGTTAGCCGTTTTTGAGATATTTCGATTTATAAGGTTCGATGCATTTTTAATTATATATGATAAAATAACGTTAAAAAGTCAGTATTTTTAAAGGTTAAATGCTGCGACCTTCTTGGAATTTTTAAAGGCTGAACATGCAAATATGTGGGATGATGTTATGTTAGATTTAAGAAGATTGGCCTGGTTCCAGCTTGATGGTTGCCAGCTCAATATTCGAGAATAGTTAGAAACTGGCTGGACGAAAATTACCCAGAAAGATGGATCGGCCGTGGAGGACCAGTCGCCTCCACGATCCCCTGACCTAAATCCATTAGATTTCTTTGTGTGGGGATTTCTAAAAGAAAAAGTGTACCAGACTCCCGTAACCACAAGAGATATGCTAATAGACAGAATCAGGAATGCATGTGATGAAATAAGGCCTTATTTGAATAATGCTATACCACGTTCGATCATTCGCAGATGTGAATTGTGTATTGAACAATTGGATTTACATTTAGAAGAAATATTTAAGAAAAACTATTTTAAAAAGTAAATTTAAACACCCTGTATTTCGGAAGCCACGCATTTTTCGACCCATGTTTATATAAACTTTATGCATTAATTTTAAAAGTTCTATCGAATCTTAAAGTTATGCAACAATAAACTGACACACCCTGTATAATGTTAAGACCTGTCTATTCCGGTTTATTATATGCGAGCTCTATATTTAAACAGCATATTGCGTTTATCAGTAGACTAATAGCAGCCGGGTCAGTTACGTTTTCTGTGTTGAAGAGTACTGAGATGTTCTGAGTACTGTTAATTTTTGTTAAAACGGTGTGTTGTTTTTAGTTTATTGTGATCGAGACTAGCTTTGTGGACAATATCTAAAAATTGTGTAAATAATGCGAACAGTTTTTGTTATGTGTGCGGAGAGCTAACTTTTAAATCCCAAAACCTTACTTTTACTCCCCTTGTGTTGAAAGCACACGAACTTTATTTTGGAATTAAAGTTGGCGACCAAGATAAAGTATGGGCCCCTCATATAGGTTGTAAGACTTGTGTAACGTTGTTAACAGGTTGGTTAAGAGGCGACAATCGTAAAATGTCCTGAGAGACCATACTACTGATTGCTATTTTTGCCTCACAAATATTAAAGGTATTGGACCACAAGTATATTAATCAATGAAGCACTAGTTGTTCAGAAAAACGTGTTGCGTCCACCTTTGCATATTAAGTTGGGACCGATGAAAAATTTTGTGAAAGCTATGGATCGAAATGGAAGAGGGCTTCTGCATTTAAAACAAACATGTCTGAAAATTCACTCTTTGGATTCTCATCTCGATTTTTTTCAGGAAAATTTAGGTGCGGTAAGTGATGAACATGGTGAACGGTTCCACATTTCTGCTATGGAAAAACGATATCAAGGCAAATGGAGTGTCACTTTGCTTGCTGATTGCTTGCTACGTTGTTAAGAGATACTTCAGGAGCAACATTTCGCCGTAAAACATCGACAACAACATTTTGAGATTAATGTTTATTCGAGTGTTTATTAGTACTCTTACACGCATATCCTTATATTTTACGAGTATAAACAGCAAATAAAATTCCTTATTGCAAGAAAAGCGTGGGTGATAGAAAAAATCGATTGCTATTTCCGACTTTTTGGGTACGTTTTACATAATAACCACCTTGTTTTGTCCATGTCACAATTTTGTTCACCAGTGTATTCAAAAACTTTAGATCTATATCTATACTATATACTAGATCTATACTATTTTCATACCTCCTCGCGTTTTTGTGAACCTGATAACAAGTGTCCAATCTACGAATTTCACGAAGAAAGCCTGATCGACAGAAACCTGTAGAATTGTATCAGGATTGCAGAAACGATGAGGAGCACAGATGCCAAGTATCCGAACTCACGCGAGTGTCATAAATCGAGCACATTACTATTTATATACTTCTTCGCGTTTTTGTGATCCTGATAGCAAGTCACCGTCCACAAATTTTACGAGAAAAGTCAGGTCGTCAGAAACTTATAGATCTGTATCAATTTGAATTTCGTGCTTATCTCATAGCAGGAACAGAGTACAATTTGCGTACCTCCTCATGTTTCCTGATAACAATTCTCCAATCCATCAATTTTACGAAGAAGTTGTGGTCGACAGTGCGAATTTCAGAAACCTATAGATCTGTACCAGGATCGCAGAAACGGCAAGAGGTATCGATGCCTCTGGATTTGAATCTCGTTCTTATCTCACAGCAAACAACTATTTCCATACCTCATCGCGTTTTTGTGAACCTGATAACAAGTGTCCAATCTACGAATTTCACAAAGCCTGATCGACAGAGCGATTTTCAGAAACCTGTAGAATTGCAATTGTATCAGGATTGCAGAAACGATGAGGAGCACAGACGCCAAGTATCCGAACTCACGCGAGTGTCATAGATCGAGCGCATTACTATTTATATACCTCTTCGCGTTTTTGTGATCCTGATAGCAAATCATCGTCCACAAATTTTACGAGAAAAGTCAGGTCGTCAGGAACTTATAGATCTGTATCAATTTGAATTTCGTGTTTATCTCATAGCAGGAGCAGAGTACAATTTGCGTACCTCCTCATGTCTCCTGATAACAATTCTCCAATCCATCAATTTTACGAAGAAGTTGTAGTCGACAGTGCGCGTTTCAGAAACCTATAGATCTGTACCAGGATCGCAGAAACGGCAAGAGGTATCGATGCCCTGGATTTGAATCTCGTTCTTATCTCACAGCAAACAACTATTTTCATACCTCCTCGCGTTTTTGTGAACCTGATAACAAGTGTCCAATCTACGAATTTCACAAAGAAAGCCTGATCGACAGAGCGATTTTCAGAAACCTGTAGAATTGTATCAGGATTGCAGAAACGATGAGGAGCACAGATGCCAAGTATCCGAACTCACGCGAGTGTCATAGATCGAGCGCATTACTACTTATATACCTCTTCGCGTTTTTGTGATCTTGATAGCAAGTCACCGTCCAAAAATTTTACGAGAAAAGTCAGGTCGTCAGGAACTTATAGCTCTGTATCAATTTGAATTTCGTGCTTATCTCATAGCAGGAGCAGAGTACAATTTGCGTACCTCCTCATGTTTCCTGATAACAATTCTCCAAACCATCAATTTTACGAAGAAGTTGTGGTCGACAGTGCGAATTTCAGGTCTGTATCAGGATCGCAGAAACGGCAAGAGGATTTGAATTTCCATTTTTATTATAGGTAACGCTATGGATTCGATCTTGCAAAATGTATATTCCAATTTCAGGCACTTTTTGATAACCAAATAAAGTAAACAATGAACCATGAGAATGATAAGCGACACCACTCTTCTGGTTTTGAGCACGGGAAGAAAAATGCACTTTTCACGTTTCAGAAGGATTACTTTGTTCTATCGCCGATTATACCTCATAATTTAACTCAGTTGGATTTGGAATATGAAGAATTCAAGAAGGTGATTACCTATTTGTCTTATTTAGATCGTTTAAGGATGCAAATTGTGATATATGTAGCGCCTATTTCGTTCAAAAAAGCATAATAATAAAATCTATGAAATGTCATGAAATTCCGAGACAGAAACAAACGGAAGCAAGTCGCGCATTCCGAGTTTTTTCAGCAGTAAACACCATAAAGACCTGAAAAATCTTCTGCCAGCTGTATTGAACAAAATCTAAATCTTAAAATGTACTTACCTGAATCAAATTTATCACTAGTGCTGTTCATGAAAGCTTGCATCTGCACATGGCTCAGTTTGAGATTGACAAAGGTCGAGTTTGTTTTATCAGCTTTCAATTTCAGCGTCTGCTCCTTCATGCATTTGTAAGACATCTGCAGCGGTGTCGGGAAGTCGGTCTGGTTGACCAACGAGAAATTCCAAACATTTGGACCTGAAAAAAAACGGTAATGTACAGGGTGCCCCTATACAAATACAAACGGTACTATAACAATTTTGCAATAAACGGACGCAGGAGGCAACGTCAATAAATAAAGCTGTATTGCAAAATTTTGTACAAAAATCTTTAATCAAATCCTAAAGGTTTTATATACATTTTTTACAGAAAAATTATCCAAACATTAAAATGGAAGGGGTGGTTTTCAACCTATAAAGTGAAAAAAAAAACTGTCCAGTTAGCCTGTAGTGAACCACAGTGGCACCCAAGACTATACATACTAAAACAATCAGAAAATGGTTATCACTGTTTCCACACTATGTCCCGATGTTTATAAAAAATTAGACTGGACTATACTGTCATATTTTTCCTCGGATTTATGATTGATGACTGTCATTTATAAAACAAACTGTTCAGTACATTGTAGATAAACGTATGAATCATCACACACCGAGAACCAAAGGAAAAGTAATACAGATATCAACTATTTACGTGTTCATATCAGTTGCTTTCATAACCACGATTTCTGATAATGCTTATTTCAAATTTAAAAGAAATGTACGATACTTTTAGGGCAAGCTGTAACGGGTTCAGATATAGCTGAAATATTGCATTCTTACCTATTGCTTCTATGTACAAATACCACTATTTTTTTTGAAATTATAGTTATATTCATTGGTAGACCTTAATACAAAATAAATTTGTTTCAAAAACTCTTCAATCTAATACTGCTGCAATAACCACTATCTATTAAAATATGGAATGATAAAATGCAGCGACAAATAGCGGCATGTGTTGATAAATACCTCATTACTTTAATAGTACCATTTTAGTATTGATGCCAATATTGAGTAAAGTAATCGTGATATACATTTCTATAACAATTTCCAAGATAGAGAACCAACGTTTGTGAAATATTTTTTTTTACTGAATTGAAATACGTGGTGCTAGTCAGCATGTCAGCCAAATACCATTTCCTAATGATGTTTAGGAAATAATAGAAGCACTCATTTGGAATACTGTACAGTTGAATGATTCAGTGATTTCAATATTGCAATAACATCAACAATAAGAAAGATTAAAGGTTTAGTACGGTGAAACACGGTTGAGTTGGCTCTGGATATGTGAGAAACCTCTACTACAGGTATATTTGAATAAAAACCATTTCCATCTAAAAGGATGCAAGTCGTAAGTTCGAGGTTCATTTTTTCAATTCCTGATAGATGTTGCTATAATTTCTAAAGGGCGTTTTTTTTAATCGACTATCTTCAAAAAGAAAAAACCATTACAGGAACATCCTACGCATCATTCCTTGACAAGCTGAATACTGCGCTTGCGGAAAAAAGGCCACATTTGCAGAAAAATCCTGTTTCACCAACGCACCGTCTCGCACCTCAGCGTTTACCACAGCGAAAATCCACGAATTACGGTTTGAACTGCTTGACCATCCACCTTACTCACCAGATCTATCCCCAAGCGACTTCTTTTTGTTCCATCATCTAAACATTGAGCTCGGAGGACGAAGATTTTCGTCAAATCACCTTGGTGAACAACAAATTTGCAGAGAAAAACGCCGAGTACTATTTGGACTGGTTACAAAGATGGGAGAAACGCTGGGAAAAGTGTGTAGAGTTACAAGAAGACTATGATGAAAAATAAAAAATAATCAGAAATATGTCTTGTAATGGGTGATTTTTTTGCTAGTATCTTTTTGGCAACACTGTTTTTGACAGATGACGCGTAAATCGTGTCTTGTGTCATTGTCAAACTTGTTCAGTTTGGTCTATAATTTAACCATGAATCGACTTACGAACGAACAACGCTTGCAAATTATTGAATTTTACTATCAAAATTTATGCTGGGTTAAGAGCACTGCTTCCAATTTATGGACAATTTGGTCGGCCTACTGAGGGAGCTATTCGGAAGCTTGTGACTAAATTTCGAACCCAGTTTACATTATTGTACATTAACCCACCAACACGCAGACGTAGAGTGAGGACTGAAGAAAATATTGCGGCTGTATCCGCCAGTGTTAGTGATGACCGTGAAATGTCGATTCGCCGCCGTTCGCAGCACTTGCGCCTCTGTTACTCCACTACGTGGAAAATTTTTCGAAGGATTTGGGTGTAAAACCTTAAAAGATACAACTGGTGCAAGAATTGAAGCCCCACGACCTCCCACAACGTTTCCAATTTGGTAGAATGGGCGCTGGCAAAGTTGGAGGAAGATCCACATTTTTATCGAAAAATTGTGTTCAGCGACGAAGCTCATTTCTGGTAGAATGGGTACGTTAACAAGCAAAATTGCCGCATCTGGAGTGAAGACCAGCCAGAAGCACTGCAAGAGCTACCAATGCATCCCGAAAAAATCACTGTTTGGTGTGGATTATGGGCCGGTGGCATCATCGGGCCGTACTTCTTCAAAGTCGACAATGGCCGGAACGTAACTGTGAATGGCGAGCGCTACCGTGCGATGATAACAAACTTTTTTTTGCCCAAAATGGAAGAGCTGGACTTGGCTGACATGTGGTTTCAACAAGACGGTGCCACATGCCACACCGCACACGAAACAATGGCCCTATTGTGAGGCGAGTTCGGTGAACAGTTTATCTCACGTTTGGGGCCCGTCAATTGGCCGCCTAGATCGTGTGATTTAACGCCGTTGTACTATTTCTTGTGGGCCATGTTACATGAAATAATCTTTAAACATTAAATTATATCGACCGTTCTATCGACTCAAATAAAGATTTAATCGTTTTTTCAATGTTTTTGTGTTTTTTTTTTGAAAATCAAATCCTATACCTCTTAAAAATCACCCGTTATCTCTGTTAGGTCGAAAACTTTTCAGACCACTCTCGTAAGTAAGAGTTACTATTTCAAACCTTATTTGGAAAACTAGATAAATGAAAAGCGATAATAAAAATCTCAAGACCTGTTATATTTTCTGTATATTCTTCTTTCTTCCAAGGTTGTAGTTAAACCTAGGCTCCTTGAAACAACAACATTATGACAAAATCTATGTCATAACTTTTGCTGTACATAATCCATAAAAAAACGATCTATTCATATCTGTTGTCATTCCTAAAGCATAATATGAACTGTTATGAAATATCTATTCACTATTAAAAATTAGTCATGCAAAATGAAAATTGAATGCAAGTTACCTTGATCGGGTAAGGTGACATTGATAGATGCGGTAACGTTTTGCACCTCAAATTTCTTATCTTTGGTTTTAACAAAATCCAGGTGGAGCTGGCTGGTCTTGTTCTGGCCCCATTGCAGGAGAATCCACTGAGTCTCGTTACCGCACGCACCTAGAGTAGAGAATAACGTCAAGTAGATTCACTCGATAAAGAACCACGCAATTTCATCGCGGAAATCGAACTTTCGTTAAATTGGTTGAATTGTTGCAATTCTCATCGTCCTGAACTAACGTCTCGATTGACACATCCTCCTTAACCCTGAGGGTTATGAGATAAAAATGGTTGACGTTGAATTATCTTAGATTATAGTTAATAGCACATTCACCATCTTGTAAGGTCAAGTACAGCGTCGATCAGAGATGATCGGGAACTCGACAACGATGCAAAGAATGGCGTCAAGTAGATGGACTTCCTACGCATTTTTTTCCGTTTCTCGCCTTTTTCTTCGCCGTCACTAGACCGGTTTTCAAAAACTAACTTTTTGTCCTTAGCATAGTACTAAAACTGAATAAAAATTTCATCAAAATCCGAGCGGCACTTCTCAAGTTATAGGCGGTTATAAAATTAGCGCTCAATTTCGAAATTTTCCTGTTTTTGCAAGTAAAAACAAACGATTTGCTCGATTTACCAGTAGCTTCGGCATTCTTGGGCACCACCCAGGTCTGATTCATCGTCTTGTTCTTCTCCGTCCAAACCAGTTCCAGCTGAATCTCGGCCATCATGACGATACAGCTCTTGTTCGAGTCCGGATACCCCACCGACCAATTGCCTACTTCCGGTTTTGGCGCCGGAGCGGGCGTGGGAGGGCCTTGGTGGTTGTGGGCGGAGTCACGGTTGTTTTAGGTGTGGTGGGGTGTGTAATAGGCGGTGCTGTGCTGGTTTTAGGCGTGACGGAAGGAGTCGTGGTACTTTTTGGTGTTGTAGTGGGTGCGGGGGAGCTGCTGGTTTTAGGTGAAGATGGAGTAGGTTCGTGGGTTGTAGGAGGGAGTGTTGAACTTTTGGGGTGCGGTTTTGGGTGAACATTGTCGTCTGCTGCAGCTGGACGAGGAGGTTCTAGATGCTCTGGTAATTGTACCGGTGCTGGTGCAATGTCTTTGTGAGTTGCTGGAGGACTGTCAGCTGCAAGAAGATAGTCTGAATGCGATTGTGTTATTTGGAATCCATATAACAACTATTGCTTTAAAAAATTGGAGCCAAAACCAGTTTGTAATATTTGCGCTGTACAAACCTTGATTTTATATAATGACTGATTACAACTAGTAGGCATTGAAAGTCTTGAAAAACAATAAAACGTATTTCTTGTTCAAATTGGTAGTGTTATTCAATTTTCCGAATTACTGCTTCATTTACAAACACCAAGAAGACAGACTTAGTCCAGATGATACAACTCTCCATAGGACTGATTATGGCACTAATCCTTTTATAGAGAAGGTTCTCAAAAAATACAATGACGATTGTATTGAAATTAACCTCTTCTGTCAAAAATTAAAACAAATAGGTGGATTCTTTAATTCACCGGTTGATTCCACCACTGATGGATGTGGTGCTTTATGGTTGACACTGTTGACAGCTTTGTATGGTGATGGCAGCAACCGGTTGAATTAAAAGGACAGATGTCTGGTCCACCGGTGGCACCGGTTGCTCAACGGGTGAATTAAAAAATACACCAAATGTGCTAACAATAATTGACATTGTACTTGAATTTTTCTCTCTATTACTTTTACATCTAGATTTAGTTTTATGTCTGTTTTCTTGTACTATTTGGAATTCTTATCAGTGTGTATGTACCTACTATTGATAAATGGATGAATAAAGATATATTTTTTGTCAGTTTCATCATTATGACGTTATTACGAAAGATTATGTTATTTTTGAGAGACTAAAAACAAACATCAAATATAATTTCTTGATAACAATACTCCAACACACAATTAAAATTCTAATATGGCCATCAAAAAATACTTATATTTATGAAGTCCTGTTTCTATCAAAAATTGTTGTTTGTTGTTAAAACTGGACATATGTAAGAATTGTTGAAAATCATCACCATTGATGCCCTTGATGATATTAATAAAAAATATTTTGAAATCTTGATTCTTGAAAATTCTGCATTTTGGGACCCATGTTCGTAGAAACTCTTTTTCATATTTTTTAACAAAGAATCACCCTTTAAAATATCTCCAACTATTTTTCAAACATCCTATATATTGCTCATTCTAGCAATATTAAAAATATATTTGTTAAATGAAAGTACCTAGATACTGATTTGGATATACTAAATCATGCAGATATTTCATTAAATAGTTTATTTGACCAGATGAGATAAACCAAAGGCCACTACTTTCTATATTTATTATTTCACAAATATATTCTTGCAACAGACATCTACAATAATTGAGATAAAAAAACAGTTAATTTCCATTATACTCCAGATATCTAAAGGCGGAAGTTTGTGAACTGAATTGATATTGGAATGCTAACAAAAAATTAAACATCTACACAATATCACCAAGCATGACTGATGCATTTATATAAATAATATATAACCATACATTCTATACTTGAATTATCTTGTACATAATAACAGTAAACATGAAATAGTATGTACAGGATAATATCTATTGAGTGGCATAGGATTAGAAACATACAAAGATACAATGAAAAACATATGATGCTATATTTATTACTGTTTAGTTTGTAATTTGATACAAAAAGGTCATGTCGAAAACAGGATAGGCGACAATATGTTCAGTACGAACAAAGCAATATTATGGTACGAGCTATGTATATTATCTATTTGGGAATGCATAATTGTTTTTTAACATAACGAAAAGATATCTGTACAGAATAGAATCTGTACGTGTTGATTTTACCGCTAAATGACGGGAAAGTAGGTGTGTTTTATAACCGTTAATGCTTTGGGAATGCAGACATTCTGCCAGCTAGCGAGATGATAAGCCTAATAATGGAATTGTTCTTACCGGAATATGCAGCTATGACACAGCAAACCAGCACTAGTGAACGTAGGATATTCATTGTCTTTACGCCTAATTTGAGATTCTTCCACTACCTAACAACTAACTAACTTATCGTTTTTGTTGTCTTTTTTATTATCCAGCACTTTCCACCTAGTGCCTTGCGAAATTCGTTTCTCGTTTGCGAAAACGCAATGGCCTGTCGAACTTTGGAAATTCAGATTCTACATCTATCTGCAACGTTGCCAGCGCTACAATCGTCATACGATAGTCCTGTTATTTTATAACCTCATTGATACTAAAATAAGCAAATACTGTGACTTTTAGGAAATATTGGACAGCTAGCTCAGAAAAAACCAGCGGATATTTCAGTGTTAATTCTGAAGGTGTAAGGAGCAATCTGACACGTCTTATTGGGAATGTGAATGCTATATGAGTGCTTTCTAATATGCTTGAGCTATAGCAAAAGCCAGTACGTGGCTCAATCTGGCAACACCAAAACTATTTGTTCTGTGCTTTCTTACCGTTTTGTGCTCAAATGTCACTGTCAACCAGCGTTGCCAGACGTACGATAATTTCAAGTACTGTACGATAGTATGTGTAGGATAATAGCTGAATGTACGATATTTTGCAAATGAGCTTTTTTACTCACAGATGTTGAATCAATCTAACAATTACGTTCAATTAACACCAGCAAGCAGCTGTCAGTGTTCCCGCTTGGTAGACAAGCGCGCGTACCCCACTCTGTATAATGCCTAGCATTAAGCGGACTATCTCGGCAAACATCAACGGGAAAAATTGCCGTCAATCAGATCTCACGTTCTATGTATTGACATGAAGCGCATATTTTTATTTACCCAAGTGCATTAAAAGAAATGAATGCGACGTCTCCCGTTTTTATGACAAAAGATCGTTTTCAGTTATTTTCGATATTTAACCGGTTTCAACTCAATAACGATATTCCGAATCAAGTTGAAGCGAGAAGAGAGAAGCACAACAAAAGATGCGATACTCTCGAAAACCAAAAAAAAAAACGAGCGGAATCTTTGAAGCTAAACATAGACAGCGAGCTTATAGGAAAGAGTGGGAAACAAAAGAGTCCCTTTCTCCCCCCTCGAGACGGACATTTCCTTCATCATGAATCCTGAGAGAACCTAAGGCACGGTGTAGGATAATGTACGATAATTTTCACGTGTTTGTTCGATAATTCCCTAAGACGAATTTGGCAACACTGCTGTGCTGTCAACTCAACGTTACTTTAACCTCAATTTGCTGTTGCAATTTCGCGTTTCACGGTGTCGTTCTTAAAAACAGCTACATATATCGAATATTAGAAATTTAAAATGACAAAGCTACGAAAACAAAGAAGAAGGAAAGTTTTCAGGCACGCCGTAAACAGAAAACGACTACGTAACAAAATTTTTGGTGTAGGAAGCATAAAATGGTGAGTACAACAAATTACCTAAAATGAGCATTGTTAATAGCATTTTTATTATTTTAGCAAAGAAATAAAGGAAGCTTGGGACAACAAGAGATCTGTCGAGACTAATATGAAAGACATGGGTCTTTCCTGTGATCCTAACAAAACTATACAGGTCCCAAAAACCCTGAAGGCGTCTTTGATGTCTAACCAAAACGAATGGAAAGAAGAAGAAATCCCTCAACCAGAATCTTCTCGTTCAAAATCGCGAGTGGCTCAGATGTTGGAGGAGGATGCTAAAGCGCCAAGAGTGAGAAAGATCAGGCTACCCAACAGCCAAATTGAATGGTTATCATACCTCATACTCAAATATGGAAATGATTATAAAGCTATGGCGAAAGACAGCAAAAAACTACTATCAAGAGACCTGGAAACAAATAAGACAAAAAGTAAGAAGATTCAGATCCATTCCTGAGCAATACTATATGTTTTTGAGGAAAAATGATATAGATATATCTCGTGATCCATTGAACTCTGAAAAAGAATTATCTGATGATGAGTTGTGATTAAGCTGGTGGTTTTATTGTGTTTATTAATTTTTGGGTGTTAATTCAGTAATTATTTTAGTTCACTCCTTATATTTATTTTGTTTCAATATGTATATAACAACAATAACAACTATTAGAATGGTAGTATAACATTTGTTGGCCTTATATGTCTTGTATAAAATAAAAGCCTCCCAAATTACTCGAAGAATTATTACTAATTGTACTAGACATTTGTTTATAGTGTCCCAAAATTGTAGAGCATATGCAACAAAAAAGTAACCAGCTGCTTACTGGATAGCAAAGTATTGTAGTCAAATCAGTTACAAAAGTCGTCCAGACCAGTCATAAAGATCGTCTAAAAATTGCAGAACTTGAAAAAAAATCGTAAGAATAGCGCAAAATTGGTGAATCTGATAGCGCCGCAATTTAACCGCCGGTGACATCTGTCTGTGTCTTTTGTTACTAACAACCTGCGGTGCTAGAACTAGCTCCTCAAACACAGGTATTTTTAACGTGATCAATTCTCTGATTATAAAGTTATGTTAACGTACCATAGATGGCGACACTGTACCTGCTAGCGACATCTAGTAGTGTGAATATGAACAAAGAATGGATAAAGTAGCCTACTGTAGATTTCTTTATTGCAATTAATTCAGTAGTTATGGAGTTTGGTTAACAGTCCGTAGATGGCGCAGGAATTACGCATGCATGTGGCATCTACCGATTAGTACTCCTACTAACTTCGCCTTGAATTACTCCCTATAGATATCTTAAATATAAGTAATGCAATAGTTGTGATGTTCCGTTTCTGTCATAGATGGCTCGAAAATGTGCATGCAGGCAACCTAAAAAATTCATAATTGTGATCAAAATGGAATAAATGCACAGGTTTTCTTTGTAATATAACGGTAATTATTCTGTGAGAATTCAATAAAACGCGGCACGAACTGTTTGAAGAAGCCATGGTTAAAATTCGATAAGTGTATTTATATCAATACACACATGGATGAACTACCCTGGATAAATATCCCAAATTCCCGTAAAAAACGCTCACACATACTATATCAAATACCAAAAAACAGACGAAAATATATAGCAAATATAAAAAAAATCCCAAAAGCTTAAAGATTTTGAGATTTGCTGAAAATTGTCTCATCAAAAATTGTTTAAAATAATGTAGAAATTAATATTATGTAATTAGGATAAGTAGCTAGTATAAGGTACAGCTGTGATAGTATTAATGTAAATATTGTAAAATTATTATTATTATTGTAATGGCGAATAAACATTTATTTATTTATTTTAAATCCGTTCAGTAAGCCCCAATGCAAACAAGAAGGACGCTTTGTTTTTCAACAAAGCCAAAACAATACAATACATTAGATATAATACACTATTCTAACAAAATAATCTTTTCATCAAAAAATAGATGGATTTTCAACCTATCTCACGGAAATTTAAGTTTCTTGAACTTTGAAGATGTCTTGTCATAGAAACCTACCCCGACCAACCGACCCTAAAGGATCTTTTTGACTAATTGAATTTTGTGTGTGTTTATTTTAAACAATTTTTGATGAGACAATTTTCGGCAAATCTCAAAATTTTTAAGCTTTTGGTTTTTTATATTTGGTCTGTTTTTTGGTATTTGATATTGCATGTGAGCGGTTTTTACGGGAATTTGGGATATTTACAAAAATTAGTGTATACGAGTATGTATGTATGCAAAGTGCTCCTTATGCATATAACATGTTTTTTTCTTATTCTCACGTGTTGTGGAAAGCCTTAATCACAGTAATTGATTAAAATATTATTTATCAGATTGTTTTATTCTGAAAGGAGCTGTGTCAATGTATAATTGAACAATATTTTCGGTGATCTGAAGCTGTAGCACCGTTCCGTTAAAAAATGTTTCAGCGTTCCAATATATGATTTGAGTTAGAGGTGTTAGTTTCACAGTATACGATACTTAGACAAAGCCAAGAGTAAATTAAAACTATCATTTGGATTGGGTAGAATTAGCAGCGTTATCGGCCTTAGCATGGACACTCTATTAATGAAGCGTTTCTAACAGAAAGATACACTTCAAAAAAATTATCGCAAGTCGTACGAGCCAAAGGCAAGGTTCCCTATTGTTATTGTTTAAAATAACAAAGAGACCTGATACGTCATTATAATGCTCAAAAACTTTCTAGACTCATTTAAATTAACTTTGAATATAAAAACTCATTATATTGGCTTCTCCATAACAATGGCTAATAGACCAGCATTTAATCAAATTACGCCTGATAATATAGATGAGCCTTTCAAAGAAGTAAATGAAATTAAATAGTTGGGGTTTGTTGTTGATCAGCACTTGAAGTGGGACCATCATGTGGTGTACTTGAGAAAAAAAAATAGATTTTTCATCCATAAATTCACTCTTCGTAATATACAAATTTTGATGATTTACAAAGCACTTGTGGTGCCCCTTTTGGTATATGGCATATTTGATTTGTATGGGGTGGGATGTACGGTTCAACTCTTGGGCAGTTAAAAGTGGTGCAGAACCATATTGTAAGAATTATTCTAAAAAAACCTAGATTATATCCCACTATGCATGAAATTAACAATATTAAAATCTTATAAATATATAATAATAATAATAATAATAATAACGCCTTTATTCATATTTTGTACATGTGAGGGACAAAGATAGCGAAGTTTAGCTTGAGCTACTCTTACACTTAACTACCTTTGTCTGTACTTTAAGCACGATGTTGTGTGCAATTCCATCCTTGCAGTATGTAGTTTTGTACATGCAAATAAGAAATTAAATACAAATTATGTGTCCCATAATTACATCTTGCACCTATATTTTACAATTTGATTCCTTCTAATATCAAGAATATTGAAAATAATAGAAAGTTTAATGTTTCGTTTAAAATGATCTGTTGGGAAAATCGTGCAATTTATGCGTTTATTTTAAGTTGCTTTGAGGTAGAATGATCTGTCTGTTTCTTTTCTTTTTTTTTGTGATAAAATTGTGATACGTTTTTTCTGATGTTCTAATGTTTACGTAGATGCCCAAGGAGATTGGCTGGTGGAAAAGCGTCTGATAAATTCCAACCAATGACGACGCAGCACGAATAGCGGCACCGGCGTAATACACGCTGCGGCCTAACGTGTTCAGTTGTCGGTTGGCGTTTGGGGAGCGTGGTGCGTCGATCCCTCCGTAAAACGCTCTGCGTCTGTACCACTCGTCGTGTGCCGGGAAGTCTTTGTCGGCGATTTTCCGCAATGTGTCGTCGTGTCGCGATGGTGGTGTGAGTGATTTTGTGGTGTTTGTGTGTGAAAATGTGTTGTGGTTGTTCATAAAAGGCGAGTGGAGTATTTTCACGTTGGATATTGAGCATTCTTACGATCTCCTGGGCTGAATGTCTTCAGAGCAGACTAGGTAACGTAAGCGTAATCATCTACTTCTGTATTAGCTTTGAGCTCGTAATGTCAAGATTGAATTATTTTGTTGTGGTCAAAAGTCATTAGCAAGTTTTCTCTAAAATTAAACGTTTTGATGTTAAAAACGATTAAATTTCTAAGAAACCTTAAACATATCGATCTTCAATGCTTTGAAACGCGAGTTAAAATTATCGTCTAGTTGCCATGCGTTAAATTTCGCACATTTTACTTCAAGACTCCGAGCAGTATTTTGAGATCAGTATATCTTAATTATTACTTAATTGTTAGCAACGCGAGGCGCTAATGCGTATTCCAATGCGCGTTATTATTATTAACAATGGAATAGCAGCATTTCAAAAATACGCCAAGTAGAAGGTTTGAAGTTTGAGTAACATGAAAGAACGACCCTTTTAGAGTGAAACTATTTTTATTCACAATGATCCAAAGAATCTAAAAATACTTTGTACGGGCCAAAAAGATGTTTTTTTGTAGTTTTGTAATTGTTTACACTCTGCAGCGAGTTAACTCCTGGCAACCTCATGATTCATCCAAAAATTTATCCCACGAATTCTTTCGCCTCGTCTGTATTGAATATAAATACATAACAAGTAGCATACTATCATGTTCAAAAACTTGCAAGAAAGTGAGATTAATGCACGTAAATACCGATTGTGTTACGTATTCATATTCTATCTCTCGTATAAAAAGTTGTTTACAATTTTTTGTAAGAAATAAGTACCTCCATACAATTGATATTTTTAAGAGGATAAATTTTGACTAAGGTTACCTGATTGATCTGAAGCCAATCTACCTTCCATGTCACTCTGGTGTGTTATTTCTGGGCCACCCTGTATTTGTATTGTCACACGATTGTAACGGTTATCTCACGGAAGATCTGCTTTAGGCCCATATCTTCAGTCGTCCCTACAATTGTATGGCGCCTTTATGGCCTCCTGGATTGTCACAGTTTTCTACTTCTCTGTGTCAGCGCTCTATTTTGAGGTTATGTCACAAACACCTATTTGCATCAAATTGTGCTTGCTTTTGAGTTATGTCTTATCAGCCTGAAATTTCCTACAATTTAAAAAGAAAACATATCTTCACAATAGGAGAGCTCTGACACTGACACGGGACAAGTGTAATCTAGAAATTTTGAAGGAGAGAAAGGAGTATGACAATCAAGGAGGCCATAAACGCGCCCTACAATAAATTGTAGGGACGACTGACAATACGGGCCTTAGTAGACCTTATGCGATATTAGGATAATTGATAAACAGTAGTAAAAAAGAGTGTATAATAAAAACTAAGCTACAAATACCCAAAAGTATTTTTTTTTCTTTATGCAACTATCTGTCTTTATAATTTATACTGTTGAACAATAAAAATATAGCTTTCTGTGAGATTGTCGCTAAATAGTGGTTTCTGGAATATTTGGAAATGTTCGTTTTTCTTTTGCACAAATGCTCCATAAGAATAAGGATACAAATACAGGAAAATAGAGTGATTCTTTATTGTTACGACGATGTTTCATAAAATTTTTATAATTTATTGGCAGTGGCTCATTGTTGGTAGCTACGACCTCCAAGGACGTGCAAGGGGTTTTTTCCATATGCGTGCGAACCAGTTTTCATAAAAGGTGTTAATATATTATACCGAACTATTTTATTTATACAGGGTGTCCCAGAAATAACACGCCTGAGTGACACGGAGGGTGGATCAATCAGATAAAATCAACATATGATAGTAGTAGCTTTCTAGTTTTCGAGATATTTTCACTTTGAAGTTTTTTCAAAAAATTCCCACTTTTTGCTTCTTTTTCGCCCTTTATGGCTATAAGCTTGTATAGCCTGCGGAAACGCTCGATATAATAATTGTACCGCCCGCCTTTCCTGCCCAAAGTGTCAGAGTGGTAGTTTTAATAACATAGCACTTGTATACTCATGCTGTTTCTACTTGTTCCAGGGACTAGAGCAGTTTGCTCAAATGTAAGTGCATTTAGGGTTTTCTTATTGGTGTTGGGTTTACAGCCGACCCGAGAGCTGCGAGGTTGACAAACCTACTGGTTTCTACTGCCCCTGCCCAGACAGGGTGCCCCATTTAGATAGTAAGGAATCACTAAGAAAAGCCGTCAGTTCAGTAGGAAAGTTATGAAAAATGATAACAAAATGCTATCACACAGTTGGAAACTCTGAAAAGAGAGAGAATCGGAATAGTAATAGGAAATGTACGCTTCAGAAAAAAATGTTAGGGAATTTTGCTTGGGCACTCTGCGTGTGGGGGCACATCGAGGGATACAAGCAACTCACATACCCTTGCGCAGGCGCACATCGAGGGATGCAAATGCTGTGTTTTCATCAATAGAACTTCTATGTAATATATTTTGACAATTTATCGAATTTTTTTTTCGTAGTGCGAGACGTGCAAGCGATATTTTCCATGCGCGTGCGAACCAGGTTTTATAACAGGAGCCAATATATTAAAGCGAACTATTTGATGTATATTTATTTGTTCAACCAGATATTCGAAAACATGAGCACAATACAATAAAAGCAATAATACTACGAAAATAATACCAGCGTAACTTTTTTTTAGATAGAAGAAAGCTTTTCTGCCCAAACTGTGACAGTGGGAGTTGTAATAACGTAGTACTGCTGTTTTTACTTTTTACAGAGACTATAGCAGTTTGCTGAAATGAACGTGCATTTAGGATTTTCTTCGACCAAACATGGTGCCCCTTTTTGGTTAAGCATTCTGCGATATGACGGCACAACGAGGGATACAGTCTCTCCATCGTGCCCTTTGCTTCATCAGCGGTAACTATGTTTTTATATTTTATACAGGACTTCTATGTTTTAGGTTTTCTCGTTCATTGTACTATTGGGCTTGGTTATTGCCTTCAACTAGCAAAGCTGTGATAAACTTCAACGATTGCACAGTGCAAAAGTCTGTCAAGAAGAGGGAAAAGTGAAGGAAAGAATTCCTCTGGGTCCATGGCCGAGCTGTTATAATATCGCTAGGTATTAATATGGTGTCAATCTAAGTACACGCAAGTATGGTCACAAGATACACGATACACTCCACCTACTGTATTAAAAACAATTATTATTTTTTTGTGAAGAAATGTTACGCGAGACATGTGGTTATTAATTTTCGAAGAGTCTTGGAAAACACATGGACGTAAAATCGTCCAGTGTTTCTGAGGGATGAGATATGTGAAAAGTTCAGGCTTCATAAGTGTGTCCGTAGATGATAAGTAACTAGATAAGAAGGTAGTAGTAGTAGCAGTAGTAGTAGTAGTGGTAGCAGTAGTAGTAGTAGCAGTAGTAGTAGTTCTGGTAATACTTACGAATATTTGGTCTTCACTATTTCTATTTTACTATCAACAGCTGGATAAAACACCTTTATTTATTGAGAAAATATATTTACAAGTAAAATGGTTCTTATTCTTAGGTATTTCATAGGTATGTTGTCTATAATTATTTATGCTTTAAAATCGTAGCTCAAGTGTTATTCTTAGTTTTTTCAGCTTTTAGGAGAGAGTGAGAACACTCCGTATTTCAGGAAGTGTGATGAACTATGATAAATATTGATGCTGATGATGTAGTCATTATAATTTTAATTTTAACTCACATTTGGTATTTACTTTTTTTTAGGTGCATATTTTATGAACTTATCCCTTTTTAGCTAAGATGCGATTGCACATTTCTTATTTTTACGTATTTTACAGAATTGCTATCCTAAAACTTTCCGGTTTTATTCCAGAATCGTAGCCCAAATATTTTTATCGAGCTTTGGAGGGGGACACTCAAAATTTCAGGAATGGTACAAGTTATCGACACTACCGAGCGTGATAAACGTGATATAACGAATATTGATGATAATGGCAGCTGTCCCAAAAAATGTTCTGCCTGGATATCTGGATGAATGTTTCATGGACATACACGCGTAGAGTTAAGAGTAACAATAAAAGCATGTTAAGGATGATCAAAACCCCCGATTTATACAGCAATATATGAAGACGGCAATCAAACGAACATCAAAATTTTTACAGGGTAAGCATTGGAGAGTACGGCATCAAGAAGGTTGGTTTTGAACTTCACGAACCACTGAAGCATATATAAAACTGTTGAGGATCTTGGAAACGTTCCCAAGAGATATATTTTCGAAACTTACCCTAAGAAGCCCAAACGCTTTCTAATCAAAACTGTACTTAAATGTATGCTATTTTCCATGAAATACAGATTCAACCTTCTTGATGTTTCAAAATAAGCAGAGGTGTTATTTAAATGTACTTATGTGAATTCTCTTTGCAGATAAATGTGTGGATAATAGTAGTATGGTCTACTGTCAATATATTGATGAAGTTTTACGAAATATTTGCAGCCAAATTCCAAGCAAAAGCTTCTAAAACTAACATTGAAGATGATTGCAGGCTGATACCTGCAGATCGAACATCAATTGAATCGATACTTGAAATGATGAAAAGGTATTTTTTACATAATTTGGAACTTATTTATTCTTCATGTTTCACTGACGTCTTACCCGATAAGTCAAGCTTATCAGGAAATACAGGGTATTCGAAAAATAGAGAGAGATATTTCTTGTTAAAAATATGAAAAAATTAATTATTGTTTTATTAATACCTCAAAAAGCATTTACTCGATTCTATTTGACAGTATTATTTTTGTATTGAGAGGCTCATTTAGCCCTAAATAGATGAAAATTATCAGATCCAGTGGCGTTCCGGGGGCACCTTAGCGAATATTGGCAAACAAATGTACGCCACTGCCTTTTTTGTAACTGTAATATTTGTTGCTTGATTAAGCATCTAAAAATACAACTTCCTAGCCTCTTGTACTTTTTTCGTATCTCACTTCGTTTTCGAGAAAAAAAATATAAACCGTTTCATTGCATGTCACTGGACAGAATTGGTTTATTAATTTTTATAATTAATTTTAACAATGAAACACCCCCTAAAATATCTCCGTCTATTTTTCGAACACCCCGTATAACTTTTGAAACCTATTGCAAAAAGCAGCGGACGCACAGAAAAAAGGTTTCACCAAATTTTATTTTTTAAACACCTTTATCAGAAAGAAGTGAATTACGATTAAAGTAAGAACCAAAGGTATTGTAATTTTTGGTGACAACAGCTGTCATGTTTTGCCGCGGGCAAGCTCGAAAGAACTGTTGACAGGTGCTGTCTTACTAATTTTTCTATCTAGAAACCATTTGTAATCAAAAATTGCACGTTTGTAACTGGTAGAAATGAAGATGAGGGAAATATTCGACATGAAAACCACATTGCCCAATAAACTAGTAATGATGGCCGGAGAACAGGTGTTTTGGGATAAAAAACTAGAAATTGTCAAAAAACTACTTGACCCATATAATCTCATTTTGTTGTTGTTATTTAGAAGTGTGAATCCTACGGATTTGAAGAATTTCAAGTAGTTGCGTGAAATTATCGTCGCATTACCAACAAGTGCCAAAACCTGCATTTTGCCTCGTTTTTCGGCCATAACATTTTTCGTATTACTCGGATCTTTTTACGTGTGGTTTTATTTTGTAGATCTCATAAATACGTAAGAATCTTATATGAAAAGTTTTTTCGTTCCTGTCAACACTTTCGATCGAATGCCAAAAAACCCGTTTTCTCACTCTTTGTTGTGAAATAAAAAGTTTTCCGACAAAAATTGGTGTACCCATTTTATGCGTACATGTTTTAAATACCCCCTTGAAAAAAATCGAAAAAACACGTTGCTAAGTAATATTCTACAATGTTTTTTGTTAAAAAGATATTGTTTTTTCGATTTTTTTCACAGGAAAAAATTAGTTGCCCGAATAACAGATTATTCTGCATAGACATAACTTACCTAATAAATTACCATTGTTTAGCGTCATTTTCTGGTGCCCTAGGGAAAAAATAAAATGCTCATATTTTAGTTTGTGATACAATTTGCATTCATAAATAAAATTTCTCTGATTACAAAACGGTTCTTACTTAAAAAATAGCACTGGTATAAACCGTTACTTCATTGTTACTTTTTTTTAGGTTAATAACTGTGGAATGCTGGCAATTTTCCATTGTGCAAATGAAACCAGAATCATGGAGCGACTTGATTTCTCTTCACCTGATACAATTGATCTTAGCAGTGACGGTTGAGGTTTTCTAGGGGTTTTCCTCGCCCGAGTGCGAATGCAGTCACTAAAAAACCACTTTCCCCTAATGAATAGTTGATAAAATGAAAATTATACTTATCCTATTAATGATCATGTAATTTTATATCAAATAGTCATTAAATATATTTATATAATAAAATTGTTTTTTTTCAACTTGATGAGAAAAGTCCCATATGCATAGACAAAAAAGTATTTTATCCTATACAAAACCATATCTGTACCCCAGAGCCAGACTAAGTCAAGTCCATTTATGTCAAAAATGTGTTTAATATGTTAAGCTTATCACAGTATTGTAAATTTTCATTTGCAAAATGCAGCGTCAATCTATCTGTAATAATAAGGAAGTTAGGAGCTTTTAACTCATTCCAAGTCACATACAATACAATGCAAGAACAATATTTCAAATACAATTATCTCGAAACTACTTATTTGGACTTAACCTAGTTATACTCTGAGGCACAAAATTTTCAGTAACCTTTGACTGCTTGTTTTTCGATGAGAAATGGTTGTAATTAGAGTTTGAAAAAGGCATTAAAATTCAAGTTTTCAGGTGTTTTAGCGCAAGGAAAAATTTTCGGGCTGCAAAAAACGCTTTCTTCTAGCCTATTGGTCGAAGATTGAAAAAAATCAAACGAGCAAAATTTTTGTATCTGGTTGAAAATGGGAAAATCATTTTTCATCTTGTTGTCACTATTGTATATCTGTAACACCTTTAATTTTGAAAATAGCAATTAGAAAAATGTTGTGTATCCATGGAATGTTCCAAAAAACAAAAATACTAACCAGGGGCGGATCTAGAAAATATTTAGCCGAAATGAATAGGATTCGACAATGAATTTGCATCGTTTTCAAACTTTAAGCAATCAATCCGGAGAAACCGTACAATGGATCGTTATGAGTTGTGCATTGAGGTGTCATTAGCAGTTCTAGGAATGTGGTCGATTTTTCAAAAGAAGGCAAAAATAAGTTTTTTTCGTTTGAAAATCAAAGGAAACAAAAAGATATTTTCCTCAAAGATTGCAACCAAATCTTATGGGAGATTTATTCCAGTTTTCGTGAATACATTACATCCTCTGTGGGATCACTATAGTTACCAAATGATCATATCGAGGTTTTAAAAACAGGATATTGAGGCTGAATAAACAGGCTATCTAATCAATGCCTCATAGCCTGACAGAAAAAAATGTTCAAGCTCGTGTACTGAAAAGAAGGTAAACATGTTTCAAAAAGTTTCGCTAGCGCTATCTGTTAAAATTTCGTGAAACTGTTGCTCCTAAAAAGTATCGTCTAAAAAAACAAAACTAGAATCGTACATCTTGAAAACGACTTCTTTATAGTCTTCTAGATATGACCATTTTCACCGAAATACAGCCTGTCAAAAATAACCGAAAATTTGAATGTTTTTCTTGCTCCATTAATTTGTTTGAGTAGTGTACTTTTTTTGCATGCAAAATATTAATATTCCGCCGAAATAAGGATTTCGAAAAACACCTAACTATACAAGCTGCAGTTTTAGATAGAGCAATTATCCCATAATTTTTACATTTCATATAACTTCAAAAACACACCCTAAAGGGCTAGATTCAGAAGTAACTGATCACTCAATTGCTTCTCGGAAATAAGAAATATGGAAATAAAAGACGTCAACATAATGAAAACACTTTATTCTGTACCCGTTATATACATATATAGAAATGTACAGAGTGTAACAGTATAGTGAATATCATATAATGAACAGAAGAAAGAATATCGCGATAGCTGTATATACTTCGAAGTTGAGTCATTTATTTTAACAGTGAGTAGATCTGATCAAAAGAAATGTTTTTTTCCTTTTTTACCATTTTTCTGGTAAAATTAAAGTAACAAAGTTATAGCCCTTTGGAAGTTTGAGTACCGCCCTGTCTCAATAATAATATCATGTGCTCGTGTTTGGCAACAACGGATATAATCTGCCTTATCGGTTCATCGCATCGGAAACAAAAAAGCGAAAGAATTTGAAACGCTGATCACGATGTTTTTATTCAGTCTGTGTCAGTCGCTAACGCGTGAGTGAATAGTGGTGTTTGCTGCGTGGCTCAAACGAAATAAAAAATGGCACATGTTTATGCGGAGCGGTTTCCCAATCGAGTGCAACCAACCCCTCGTGCCTTTGTTAATGTAGTACAACGGGCTCGTGAATCAGGTGACTTAAGACCTCACAGGTGCTCCAAGACCTCACGATCAAATACAGGTCCGCACTGAAATACTTGTCGGGAAGATACTTTATAAAACAAGATAAATTTTTTTTTTATTTTTTTTTATTTTTACACACTTATTTTGGTTTATCTTCCTTCTACAATCATTATCTGAAAATTAATGACTCAACTTCAAAGTCACTTTTTTAGAAATAATCAAAGAAATATTATAATCAGAGGTCCATTAGAACAGAAATATTTCAAAGGTGTGATATTGCTGGACATTCATATACAGGGTGGCGCATCGAAAACGAAACACACGCATTTTCTGGCAGCTCCGTTTTTTTTGGAAAAACGCTCAGACCCGTCGATTTTGTTTTCGAGGGGGACACAAGTTTGGCAAAAAACACGTGCAGCCCCCTGGGCGGGGGTGACACCAACCCTAAAATCTTAAATGATATAAAATTAAGGTACTTCAGTTCAGTATTTTTGAAGATTTATTGATTTAAAGCTTAAATAAAACTAATACATCGTAATACATTAGTGGAGATCAATACATTTGGCAGCAAAGTAATTTAACAATGAAGAATGAACTGACCCGTTAGGCAAGTAAATGTCGAAAATGGCCATCATGACTCTTCATGCAATAATAATTTTGCTCAAAACGCTGCCGCACATTTTGCAATATTTGAGGAGTAATTTGAAGGCACTCATTCACAATTCTTTGTCGCAGGTCTTCTAATGATGTTGGCTGAGTAGCATAGATTTTGTTTTTTAAATGACCCCACATAAAGAAATCCAAAGGTGATAAATTTGACGATCTTGGGGGCCATCCAATGGCACCTCTTCTACCAATCCATCGATCCGGAAACGTCTGATCTAAATATTGTCGAACACGTAATGCGTAATGTGGTGGGGCACCATCCTGTTGGAACATCAACCTATTCGCAATGTACCGCCGATCATTCTGATTTTCAATTATGGCTGTTAATGCAGGATCTATGGCGTCTTCCAGTAATTCCAAATACTTTTCACCGGTCAAATTTCCAGGTAAGAAAAAAAGGACCAACTGAATGATTGCCAAAAATACCAGCCCAAACATTTAATTTTTGTGGCTGCTGTGTATGAACCTCATGATAAATTCTGGGATTAGAATCTGACCAATATCGGCAGTTATGACGATTTACTACGCCATTTAAGAAAAAGGAACATTCGTCGGAAAAGCAAGTGTTGAATAGAAAATGTTCATTGTTTATAATTCGTTCACTCATATCTTCACAAAATTGTAATCGCCGATCAAAATCGTCCTCAGTAAGTTCTTGTACCAGGTGAATTTTATACGGATGAAAACTATGGGCCTTTAGAATCCGTTGGACAGTACGTCGACTAACACCACACACAGTCTCCAATTTGCGGGTACTTAACGTAGGATCTACATAAACTTTCCCTAAAACCCCCACTTCTATTGCTTCGTTCCTTATGGGATTTTCAATGTTGCGTTTTTTATTGGCGAATGACCCAGTTTCTCGAAATTTAGCTACGAGTTCTAGAACATATTTTCGATGCACGTTACTGTTCTCATGTCGCTTATTAAATATTTTTGCTGTTCTATTAGCGCACTGATTATTTCCGAATTTTTTTTTGATAATTTCAACTCTTTCTGCTGTGTAATATACAATGGTTAATTTATGTAATAAAGCGTTACAAGTTATTTTAGCAACAAAGTTTGGTCAAATCAATCGCAAACTATGTACTAAATTCCTATTTAAAATAAGTACGAGATATTTCCTTATCTTTCTTCAAGAAATAAATTTTTTGCCACAAAAAAACGCTCCAATAGCTATTTTCAACAACAAAATAATAAACAAACCATAGGCGTAGTGAAGAAAAGCATTTACTTATTAAGTAAATTCTTTTAGTAAAATTTCTTCTGAAAGTAGTACAAACTAATCTGATGTACCTATTAAAGTCTACTTTAAGCTTTAAATCTTCAAAACTATTGAACTGAAGCTCATGTATTTTACATCATTATAAAGGGAATTGAAAGACCTTTAAAATAAGGTATCACTCGACCCCCCTTTCCATTTAAGATTTTAGGGTTGGTGTTACCCCCGCCCAGGGGGCTGCACGTGTTAACGTGATTTTTTGCCAAACTTGTCTCCCCCTCGAAAACAAAATCGACGGGTCTGAGCGTTTTTCCAAAAAAAAAAACTGAGCTGCCAGTAAATGCGTCTGTTTCGTTTTCGATACGCCACCCGGTATGTAGGTACTACATATATTTTTGTTACATTGTCGAGAATTGCTTAGGCTTACGATAAATTAATAGATACAAACCTTTCTACATATCTTTTAGAGTATAAGCACATGGAAATCCTTAGAGAGCTAAAATTAAAGCTTATTTTGTTATGTGTACTCATTGTATACACTGTACCGCCCAAGTTTCACACAAAGATTTCAGTCACAGGAAATGGATATTCAAAAAAGAATAATGCGGTTGCAAAGCGAGTAAAATCTTTCGATCCACAAAGAAAAAATAGCGCCAAGTATCATCAGTCAGTGACTTGTTCGACACCAGTTAATCCCTCTGAAAATAAAAGTTTGCTACGAACATGTATGACGAAAAAAATTGAGTGGATCAAGTCAGTCAATAAGCCCAATCAATTGGTCCATAGTTCCCACTCGTTTGACAACGTTGCGATCTAGTGTGTTGAAGATATTTCTCTATAATTCTAAGTTTTAAGGCTAAATGTAGGTACGTAGTGTGTGGAATATGTCTAATATATAAATATGAGTCAAAACTATAATTCGGCGTCCTGGCATGACAGGCCATATCTCAGACTCGGCTAAAGAGCTATGAGGCTTTGCGCAATTTCAGGGTCCTAGGTCGTACGGTTCAGACTCGTAATGTGCTCAAACTTTGAAGGTTTAGCAAAAATGTGAATTTTGCAGTTTTGGCAACTTTTCCATTTTCTCGCTAGTCATGTGATTTGAAAGCATTAGTCCCTGCCATATGTGACTATTCCGAAGAAACATTGTCCAAAATTGACTTCAAATTGTGATCTGACAATTTGTTCGGCACACATTTGAGTCAAAAATGAAATTTTCCAATTTCGAATGCCTTTGAAACAAAAAATTCACAATATTCGCCCCCGATCGCGCTATTCTATATGAATTGAACTTTGTTTTAGGACTTCTAAATTGGTAGTATTGCCCTTTACAACTAATTTTCGATATTTTTGACTAAAATGTGTTATCTGTCCCGCGCTAAAAGCGTTGTTTGCAGTACCTACTATGTTTTTGAGGAAAAACGATATATGTGTATCCCAGGATCCTTGAATGATGAACAAAATCGAATCAAAGCACACAAGCAAGAACAATTTATTAAATCGCGGCGCGAAATGTTAAAATTGGAAAAGTGTGACTCATTATTTTTTTCTGATTATTAAAATACGGACGTTATTATGTGTTTGGGGAAAAACGATATAGATGTATTTCAGGATCCTTTTTGAATTGTAAAAAAGAATTATCTGCTGATGAGTTCTAAGTTAGTTGTTTTAACGTAATTATTAATTTTTGGAAGTTCTAATTCACGCCTTATATTTAGATTATTTGAATATCTATAAAGCCACGATTAGAATCCGAGTATAACATTTGTAATAGTTTCAACTGGCTTATGTTTCTTGTATTTTTGTACAAAATAAAAACCTTAAACATTAATGAATGATTCTTTACTAATTGGTAGGAGACGTTTATTTATAGCGTCTCAAAATTGCAGAGCATAAGCGGCAAAAAAGTAACCAGCTGCTTACTGGATAGCAAAGTATTGTAGTCAAATCAGTTACAAAAGTCGTCCAGACCAGTCATAAAGATCGTCCAAAAATTGCAGAACTTGAAAAAAAATCGTAAGAATAGCGCAAAATTGGTGAATCTGATAGCGCCGCAATTCAACCGCCGGTGACATCTGTCTGTGTCTTTTGTTACTAACAACCTGCGCTGCTAGAACTAGCTCCTCAAACACAGGTATTTTTAACGTGATCAATTCTCTGATTATAAAGTTAAGTTAACGTACCATAGATGGCGACACTGTACCTGCTAGCGACATCTAGTAGTGTGAATATGAACAAAGAATGGATAAAGTAGCTTACTGTAGATTTCTTTATTGCAATTAATTCAGTAGTTATGGAGTTTGGTTAACAGTCCGTAGATGGCGCAGGAATTACGCATGCATGTGGCATCTACCGATTAGTACTCCTACTAACTTCGCCTTGAATTACTCCCTATAGATATCTTAAATATAAGTAATGCAATAGTTGTGATGTTCCGTTTCTGTCATAGATGGCTCGAAAATGTGCATGCAGGCAACCTAAAAAATTCATAATTGTGATCAAAATGGAATAAATGCACAGGTTTTGTTTGTAATGTAACGGTAATTATTCTGTAAGAATTCAATAAAACGCGGCACGAAATGTTTGAAGAAGCCATGGTTAAAATTCGATAAGTGTATTTATATCAATACACACATGGATGGACTACCCTGGATAAATATCCCAAATTCCCGTAAAAAACGCTCACACATACTATATCAAATACCAAAAAAACAGACGAAAATATATAGCAAATATAAAAAAATCCCAAAAGCTTAAAGATTTTGAGATATGCTGAAAATTGTCTCATCAAAAATTGTTTAAAATAATGTAGAAATTAATATTATGTAATTAGGATAAGTAGCTAGTATAAGGTACAGCTGTGATAGTATTATGTAATATTGTAAAATTATTATTATTGTAATGGCGAATAAACATTTATTTATTTATTTTAAATCCGTTCAGTAAGCCCCAATGCAAACAAGAAGGACGCTTTGTTTTTCAACATGTCGCTCTGATAGTTTGCCGCTTTTGTTTTCACGCCCTGTTTACAGAAATGGAGCTGAGTGACCCCTTCGTAGGACACCCCCCACCAAACCATGACTGACGCAGGGTGGTGGCCTCTCTCAACTCTCGGAATGATCTCCTAAGCTTCCTGTGAACTCCTTGCATACACTTTGTCATTTTGTCGGTTGAATTTTTCTTCTATGGTGAAGATTTTCTCATCCGTGAACAAAATCTTTCGGAATCCCCCAGCTGCGTACCTCTCCAAGAGCTTCTTGGATCTTGTCGCCCTGATGTGTCGCAAGGTGGCCGTAAGTCGCTGGCCCGTACGTCTCCGGTAAGCCCCTAGCCCTAGGTCTTGTTTAATGATGCGCGACATCGTCCGGACAGGAATCTTCATTTCCCTGGATAGGATCTTCTGCTTCCGGAGTGGATTCCTTTGAATCCTGGCTTTTACGGCTTTGATGGCTGCTGGAGTCCTTACTTGACGAGGTCTTCCGCTTAGCAAAGCAAGAGATTCATTTCAGAATAATAATGTTATATTCATCACAACTTAAAGTATTCTATTTACATATTCAACATTACAATACGATACATTAGATATAATACACTATTCTAACAAAATAATCTTTTCATCAAAAAAATAGGTGGATTTTCAACCTACCTCACGGAAATTTAAGTTTCTTGAACTTTGAAGATGTCTTGTCATAGAAACCTACCCCGACCAACCGACCCTAAAGGATCTTTTTGACTAATTGAATTTTGTGTGTGTTTATTTTAAACAATTTTTGATGAGACAATTTTCGGCAAATCTCAAAATTTTTAAGCTTTTGGTTTTTTATATTTGGTCTGTTTTTTGGTATTTGATATTGCATGTGAGCGGTTTTTACGGGAATTTGGGATATTTACAAAAAATTAGTGTATACGAGTATGTATGTATGCAAAGTGCTTCTTATGCATATAACATGTTTTTTTCTTATTCTCACGTGTTGGAAGCCTTAATCACAGTAATTGATTAAAATATTATTTATCAGATTGTTTTATTCTGAAAGGAGCTGTGTCAATGTATAATTGAACAATATTTTCGGTGATCTGAAGCTGTAGCACCGTTCCGTTAAAAAATGTTTCAGCGTTCCAATATATGATTTGAGTTAGAGGTGTTAGTTTCACAATATACGATACTTAGACAAAGCCAAGAGTAAATTAAAACTATCATTTGGATTGGGTAGAATTAGCAGCGTTATCGGCCTTAGCATGGACACTCTATTAATGAAGCGTTTCTAACAGAAAGATACACCTCAAAAAAATTATCGCAAGTCGTACGAGCCAAAGGCAAGGTTCCCTATTGTTATTGTTTAAAATAACAAAGAGACCTGAAATGTCATTATAATGCTCAAAAACTTTCTAGACTCATTTAAATTAACTTTGAATATAAAAACTCATTATATTGGCTTCTCCATAACAATGGCTAATAGACCAGCATTTAATCAAATTACGCCTGATAATATAGATGAGCCTTTCAAAGAAGTAAATGAAATTAAATAGTTGGGGTTTGTTGTTGAGCAGCACTTGAAGTGGGACCATCATGTGGTGTACTTGAGAAAAAAAAAATAGATTTTTCATCCATAAATTCACTCTTCGTAATATACAAATTTTGATGATTTACAAAGCACTTGTGGTGCCCCTTTTGGTATATGGCATATTTGTATGGGGTGGGATGTGCGGTTCAACTCTTGGGCAGTTAAAAGTGGTGCAGAACCATATTGTAAGAATTATTCTAAAAAAACCTAGATTATATCCCACTATGCATGAAATTAACAATATTAAAATCTTATAAATATATCCTTGCAGTATGTAGTTTTGTACATGCAAATAAGAAATTAAATACAAATTATGTGTCCCATAATTACATCTTGCACCTATATTTTACAATTTGATTCCTTCTAATATCAAGAATATTGAAAATAATAGAAAGTTTAATGTTTCGTTTAAAATGATCTGTTGGGAAAATCGTGCAATTTATGCGTTTATTTTAAGTTGCTTTGAGGTAGAATGATCTGTCTGTTTCTTTTCTTTTTTTTGTGATAAAATTGTGATACGTTTTTTCTGATGTTCTAATGTTTACGTAGATGCCCAAGGAGATTGGCTGGTGGAAAAGCGTCTGATAAATTCCAACCAATGACGACGCAGCACGAATAGCGGCACCGGCGTAATACACGCTGCGGCCTAACGTGTTCAGTTGTCGGTTGGCGTTTGGGGAGCGTGGTGCGTCGATCCCTCCGTAAAACGCTCTGCGTCTGTACCACTCGTCGTGTGCCGGGAAGTCTTTGTCGGCGATTTTCCGCAATGTGTCGTCGTGTCGCGATGGTGGTGTGAGTGATTTTGTGGTGTTTGTGTGTGAAAATGTGTTGTGGTTGTTCATAAAAGGCGAGTGGAGTATTTTCACGTTGGATATTGAGCATTCTTACGATCTCCTGGGCTGAATGTCTTCAGAGCAGACTAGGTAACGTAAGCGTAATCATCTACTTCTGTATTAGCTTTGAGCTCGTAATGTCAAGATTGAATTATTTTGTTGTGGTCAAAAGTCATTAGCAAGTTTTCTCTGAAATTAAACGTTTTGATGTTAAAAACGATTAAATTTCTAAGAAACCTTAAACATATCGATCTTCAATGCTTTGAAACGCGAGTTAAAATTATGCGTTAAATTTCGCACATTTTACTTCAAGACTCCGAGCAGTATTTTGAGATCAGTATATCTTAATTATTACTTAATTGTTAGCAACGCGAGGCGCTAATGCGTATTCCAATGCGCGTTATTATTATTAACAATGGAATAGCAGCATTTCAAAAATACGCCAAGTAGAAGGTTTGAAGTTTGAGTAACATGAAAGAACGACCCTTTTAGAGTGAAACTATTTTTATTCACAATGATCCAAAGAATCTAAAAACACTTTGTACGGGCCAAAAAGATGTTTTTTGTAGTTTTGTAATTGTTTACACTCTGCAGCGAGTTAACTCCTGGCAACCTCATGATTCATCCAAAAATTTATCCCACGAATTCTTTCGCCTCGTCTGTATTGAATATAAATACATAACAAGTAGCATACTATCATGTTCAAAAACTTGCAAGAAAGTGAGATTAATGCACGTAAATACCGATTGTGTTACGTATTCATATTCTATCTCTCGTATAAAAAGTTGTTTACAATTTTTTGTAAGAAATAAGTACCTCCATACAATTGATATTTTTAAGAGGATAAATTTTGACTAAGGTTACCTGATTGATCTGAAGCCAATCTACCTTCCATGTCACTCTGGTGTGTTATTTCTGGGCCACCCTGTATTTGTATTGTCACACGATTGTAACGGTTATCTCACGGAAGATCTGCTTTAGGCCCATATCTTCAGTCGTCCCTACAATTGTAGGGCGCCTTTATGGCCTCCTGGATTGTCACAGTTTTCTACTTCTCTGTGTCAGCGCTCTATTTTGAGGTTATGTCACAAACACCTATTTGCATCAAATTGTGCTTGCTTTTGAGTTATGTCTTATCAGCCTGAAATTTCCTACAATTTAAAAAGAAAACATATCTTCACAATAGGAGAGCTCTGACACTGACACGGGACAAGTGTAATCTAGAAATTTTGAAGGAGAGAAAGGAGTATGACAGTCAAGGAGGCCATAAACGCGCCCTACAATAAATTGTAGGGACGACTGACGATACGGGCCTTAGTAGACCTTATGCGGTATTAGGATAATTGATAAACAGTAGTAAAAAAGAGTGTATAATAAAAACTAAGCAACAAATACCCAAAAGTATTTTTTTTCTTTATGCAACTATCTGTCTTTATAATTTATACTGTTGAACAATAAAAATATAGCTTTCTGTGAGATTGTCGCTAAATAGTGGTTTCTGGAATATTTGGAAATGTTCGTTTTTCTTTTGCACAAATGCTCCATAAGAATAAGGATACAAATACAGGAAAATAGAGTGATTCTTTATTGTTACGACGATGTTTCATAAAATTTTGATAATTTATTGGCAGTGGCTCATTGTTGGTAGCTACGACCTCCAAGGACGTGCAAGGGGTTTTTTCCATATGCGTGCGAACCAGTTTTCATAAAAGGTGTTAATATATTATACCGAACTATTTTATTTATACAGGGTGTCCCAGAAATAACACGCCTGAGTGACACGGAGGGTGGATCAATCAGATAAAATCAACATATGATAGTAGTAACTTTCTAGTTTTCGAGATATTTTCACTTTGAAGTTTTTTCAAAAAATTCCCACTTTTTGCTTCTTTTTCGCCCTTTATGGCTATAAGCTTGTATAGCCTGCGGAAACGCTCGATATAATAATTGTACCGCCCGCCTTTCCTGCCCAAAGTGTCAGAGTGGTACTTTTAATAACATAGCACTTGTATACTCATGCTGTTTCTACTTGTTCCAGGGACTAGAGCAGTTTGCTCAAATGTAAGTGCATTTAGGGTTTTCTTATTGGTGTTGGGTTTACAGCCGACCCGAGAGCTGCGAGGTTGACAAACCTACTGGTTTCTACTGCCCCTGCCCAGACAGGGTGCCCCATTTAGATAGTTAGATAGTAAGGAATCACTAAGAAAAGCCGTCAGTTCAGTAGGAAAGTTATGAAAAATGATAACAAAATGCTATCACACAGTTGGAAACTCTGAAAATAGAGAGAATCGGAATAGTAATATGAAATGTACGCTTCAGAAAAAACGTTTGCGATAGAGAACTCCAAATAAGTGGTCGGTAGTAGCGAGTAGCTACGGAAATGTTAGGGAATTTTGCTTGGGCACTCTGCGTGTGGGGGCACATCGAGGGATACAAGCAACTCATCATACCCTTGCGCAGGCGCACATCGAGGGATGCAAATGCTGTGTTTTCATGTAATATATTTTGACAATTTATCGATTTTTTTTTTCGTACGTGCAAGCGATATTTTCCATGCGCGTGCGAACCAGGTTTTATAACAGGAGCCAATATATTAAAGCGAACTATTTGATGTATATTTATTTGTTCAACCAGATATTCGAAAACATGAGTACAATACAATAAAAGCAATAATACTACGAAAATAATACCAGCGTAACTTTTTTTTAGATAGAAGAAAGCTTTTCTGCCCAAACTGTGACAGTGGGAGTTGTAATAACGTAGTACTGCTGTTTTTACTTTTTACAGAGACTATAGCAGTTTGCTGAAATGAACGTGCATTTAGGATTTTCTTCGACCAAACATGGTGCCCCTTTTTGGTTAAGCATTCTGCGATATGGCGGCACAACGAGGGATACAGTCTCTCCATCGTGCCCTTTGCTTCATCAGCGGTAACTATGTTTTTATATTTTATACAGGACTTCTATGTTTTAGGTTTTCTCGTTCATTGTACTATTGGGCTTGGTTATTGCCTTCAACTAGCAAAGCTGTGATAAACTTCAACGAAGAAGAGGGAAAAGTGAAGGAAACAATTCCTCTGGGTCCATGGCCGAGCTGTTATAATATCGCTAGGTATTAATATGGTGTCAATCTAAGTACACGCAAGTATGGTCACAAGATACACGATACACTCCACCTACTGTATTAAAAACAATTATTATTTTTTTGTGAAGAAATGTTACGCGAGACATGTGGTTATTAATTTTCGAAGAGTCTTGGAAAATACATGGACGTAAAATCGTCCAGTGTTTCTGAGGGATGAGATATGTGAAAAGTTCAGGCTTCATAAGTGTGTCCGTAGATGATAAGTAACTAGATAAGAAGGTAGTAGTAGTAGCAGTAGTAGTAGTAGTGGTAGCAGTAGTAGTAGTAGCAGTAGTAGTAGTTCTGGTAATACTTACGAATATTTGGTTTTCACTATTTCTATTTTACTATCAACAGCTGGATAAAACACCTTTATTTATCGAGAAAATATATTTACAAGTAAAATGGTTCTTATTCTTAGGTATTTCATAGGTATGTTGTCTATAATTATTTATGCTTTAAAATCGTAGCTCAAGTGTTATTCTTAGTTTTTTTCAGCTTTTAGGAGAGAGTGAGAACACTCCGTATTTCAGGAAGTGTGATGAACTATGATAAATATTGATGATGATGAGGTAGTCATTATAATTTTAATTTTAACTCACATTTGGTATTTACTTTTTTTTAGGTGCATATTTTATGAACTTATCCCTTTTTAGCTAAGATGCGATTGCACATTTCTTATTTTTACGTATTTTACAGAATTGCTATCCTAAAACTTTCCGGTTTTATTCCAGAATCGTAGCCCAAATATTTTTATCGAGCTTTGGAGGGGGACACTCAAAATTTCAGGAATGGTACAAGTTATCGACACTACCGAGCGTGATAAACGTGATATAACGAATATTGATGATAATGGCAGCTGTCCCAAAAAATGTTCTGCCTGGATATCTGGATGAATGTTTCATGGACATACACGCGTAGAGTTAAGAGTAACAATAAAAGCATGTTAAGGATGATCAAAACCCCCGATTTATACAGCAATATATGAAGACGGCAATCAAACGAACATCAAAATTTTTACAGGGTAAGCATTGGAGAGTACGGCATCAAGAAGGTTGGTTTTGAACTTCACGAACCACTGAAGCATATATAAAACTGTTGAGGATCTTGGAAACGTTCCCAAGAGATATATTTTCGAAACTTACCCTAAGAAGCCCAAACGCTTTCTAATCAAAACTGTACTTAAATGTATGCTATTTTCCATGAAATACAGATTCAACCTTCTTGATGTTTCAAAATAAGCAGAGGTGTTATTTAAATGTACTTATGTGAATTCTCTTTGCAGATAAATGTGTGGATAATAGTAGTATGGTCTACTGTCAATATATTGATGAAGTTTTACGAAATATTTGCAGCCAAATTCCAAGCAAAAGCTTCTAAAACTAACATTGAAGATGATTGCAGGCTGATACCTGCAGATCGAACATCAATTGAATCGATACTTGAAATGATGAAAAGGTATTTTTTACATAATTTGGAACTTATTTATTCTTCATGTTTCACTGACGTCTTACCCGATAAGTCAAGCTTATCAGGAAATACAGGGTATTCGAAAAATAGAGAGAGATATTTCTTGTTAAAAATATGAAAAAATTAATTATTGTTTTATTAATACCTCAAAAAGCATTTACTCGATTCTATTTGACAGTATTATTTTTTGTATTGAGAGGCTCATTTAGCCCTAAATAGATGAAAATTATCAGATCCAGTGGCGTTCCGGGGGCACCTTAGCGAATATTGGCAAACAAATGTACGCCACTGCCTTTTTTGTAACTGTAATATTTGTTGCTTGATTAAGCATCTAAAAATACAACTTCCTAGCCTCTTGTACTTTTTTCGTATCTCACTTCGTTTTCGAGAAAAAAAATATAAACCGTTTCATTGCATGTCACTGGACAGAATTGGTTTATTAATTTTTATAATTAATTTTAACAATGAAACACCCCCTAAAATATCTCCGTCTATTTTTCGAACACCCCGTATAACTTTTGAAACCTATTGCAAAAAGCAGCGGACGCACAGAAAAAAGGTTTCACCAAATTTTATTTTTTAAACACCTTTATCAGAAAGAAGTGAATTACGATTAAAGTAAGAACCAAAGGTATTGTAATTTTTGGTGACAACAGCTGTCATGTTTTGCCGCGGGCAAGCTCGAAAGAACTGTTGACAGGTGCTGTCTTACTAATTTTTCTATCTAGAAACCATTTGTAATCAAAAATTGCACGTTTGTAACTGGTAGAAATGAAGATGAGGGAAATATTCGACATGAAAACCACATTGCCCAATAAACTAGTAATGATGGCCGGAGAACAGGTGTTTTGGGATAAAAAACTAGAAATTGTCAAAAAACTACTTGACCCATATAATCTCATTTTGTTGTTGTTATTTAGAAGTGTGAATCCTACGGATTTGAAGAATTTCAAGTAGTTGCGTGAAATTATCGTCGCATTACCAACAAGTGCCAAAACCTGCATTTTGCCTCGTTTTTCGGCCATAACATTTTTCGTATTACTCGGATCTTTTTACGTGTGGTTTTATTTTGTAGATCTCATAAATACGTAAGAATCTTATATGAAAAGTTTTTTCGTTCCTGTCAACACTTTCGATCGAATGCCAAAAAACCCGTTTTCTCACTCTTTGTTGTGAAATAAAAAGTTTTCCGACAAAAATTGGTGTACCCATTTTATGCGTACATGTTTTAAATACCCCCTTGAAAAAAATCGAAAAAACACGTTGCTAAGTAATATTCTACAATGTTTTTTGTTAAAAAGATATTGTTTTTTCGATTTTTTTCACAGGAAAAAATTAGTTGCCCGAATAACAGATTATTCTGCATAGACATAACTTACCTAATAAATTACCATTGTTTAGCGTCATTTTCTGGTGCCCTAGGGAAAAAATAAAATGCTCATATTTTAGTTTGTGATACAATTTGCATTCATAAATAAAATTTCTCTGATTACAAAACGGTTCTTACTTAAAAAATAGCACTGGTATAAACCGTTACTTCATTGTTACTTTTTTTTAGGTTAATAACTGTGGAATGCTGGCAATTTTCCATTGTGCAAATGAAACCAGAATCATGGAGCGACTTGATTTCTCTTCACCTGATACAATTGATCTTAGCAGTGACGGTTGAGGTTTTCTAGGGGTTTTCCTCGCCCGAGTGCGAATGCAGTCACTAAAAAACCACTTTCCCCTAATGAATAGTTGATAAAATGAAAATTATACTTATCCTATTAATGATCATGTAATTTTATATCAAATAGTCATTAAATATATTTATATAATAAAATTGTTTTTTTTCAACTTGATGAGAAAAGTCCCATATGCATAGACAAAAAAGTATTTTATCCTATACAAAACCATATCTGTACCCCAGAGCCAGACTAAGTCAAGTCCATTTATGTCAAAAATGTGTTTAATATGTTAAGCTTATCACAGTATTGTAAATTTTCATTTGCAAAATGCAGCGTCAATCTATCTGTAATAATAAGGAAGTTAGGAGCTTTTAACTCATTCCAAGTCACATACAATACAATGCAAGAACAATATTTCAAATACAATTATCTCGAAACTACTTATTTGGACTTAACCTAGTTATACTCTGAGGCACAAAATTTTCAGTAACCTTTGACTGCTTGTTTTTCGATGAGAAATGGTTGTAATTAGAGTTTGAAAAAGGCATTAAAATTCAAGTTTTCAGGTGTTTTAGCGCAAGGAAAAATTTTCGGGCTGCAAAAAACGCTTTCTTCTAGCCTATTGGTCGAAGATTGAAAAAATCAAACGAGCAAAATTTTTGTATCTGGTTGAAAATGGGAAAATCATTTTTCATCTTGTTGTCACTATTGTATATCTGTAACACCTTTAATTTTGAAATAGCAATTAGAAAAATGTTGTGTATCCATGGAATGTTCCAAAAAACAAAAATACTAACCAGGGGCGGATCTAGAAAATATTTAGCCGAAATGAATAGGATTCGACAATGAATTTGCATCGTTTTCAAACTTTAAGCAATCAATCCGGAGAAACCGTACAATGGATCGTTATGAGTTGTGCATTGAGGTGTCATTAGCAGTTCTAGGAATGTGGTCGATTTTTCAAAAGAAGGCAAAAAATAAGTTTTTTTCGTTTGAAAATCAAAGGAAACAAAAAGATATTTTCCTCAAAGATTGCAACCAAATCTTATGGGAGATTTATTCCAGTTTTCGTGAATACATTACATCCTCTGTGGGATCACTATAGTTACCAAATGATCATATCGAGGTTTTAAAAACAGGATATTGAGGCTGAATAAACAGGCTATCTAATCAATGCCTCATAGCCTGACAGAAAAAAATGTTCAAGCTCGTGTACTGAAAAGAAGGTAAACATGTTTCAAAAAGTTTCGCTAGCGCTATCTGTTAAAATTTCGTGAAACTGTTGCTCCTAAAAAGTATCGTCTAAAAAAACAAAACTAGAATCGTACATCTTGAAAACGACTTCTTTATAGTCTTCTAGATATGACCATTTTCACCGAAATACAGCCTGTCAAAAATAACCGAAAATTTGAATGTTTTTCTTGCTCCATTAATTTGTTTGAGTAGTGTACTTTTTTTGCATGCAAAATATTAATATTCCGCCGAAATAAGGATTTCGAAAAACACCTAACTATACAAGCTGCAGTTTTAGATAGAGCAATTATCCCATAATTTTTACATTTCATATAACTTCAAAAACACACCCTAAAGGGCTAGATTCAGAAGTAACTGATCACTCAATTGCTTCTCGGAAATAAGAAATATGGAAATAAAAGACGTCAACATAATGAAAACACTTTATTCTGTACCCGTTATATACATATATAGAAATGTACAGAGTGTAACAGTATAGTGAATATCATATAATGAACAGAAGAAAGAATATCGCGATAGCTGTATATACTTCGAAGTTGAGTCATTTATTTTAACAGTGAGTAGATCTGATCAAAAGAAATGTTTTTTTCCTTTTTTACCATTTTTCTGGTAAAATTAAAGTAACAAAGTTATAGCCCTTTGGAAGTTTGAGTACCGCCCTGTCTCAATAATAATATCATGTGCTCGTGTTTGGCAACAACGGATATAATCTGCCTTATCGGTTCATCGCATCGGAAACAAAAAAGCGAAAGAATTTGAAACGCTGATCACGATGTTTTTATTCAGTCTGTGTCAGTCGCTAACGCGTGAGTGAATAGTGGTGTTTGCTGCGTGGCTCAAACGAAATAAAAAATGGCACATGTTTATGCGGAGCGGTTTCCCAATCGAGTGCAACCAACCCCTCGTGCCTTTGTTAATGTAGTACAACGGGCTCGTGAATCAGGTGACTTAAGACCTCACAGGTGCTCCAA